GTGTGTGTGTGTGTGTGTGTGTGTGTGTGTGTGTGTGTGTGTGTGTGTGGCATGCAGCCAGTCCAGCTAGGGCTGCCTGGGGCCAAAAGAGGGAAAATTTTCCAACAGAGGTAACACCGCGAGGCAGATGCAGAGGCAGAAACAAACAACAATGCCGCACTGTTGCAGAAAGATTTCAGGCACCACAGAAACTGCGGGCTGGAGGGGACAGGGTGTCCGGGGGCACTTCGAGGCCCAAGGTGGGGGGGGTCAACTGAGAAGGACCTTGTCAGCGAGTGTTTGGTTAGATTTGATCCCTAAGGGAGATAGGAGTCACCGAAATGCCATTCTGTGATGATGTGCTAGAAATCTCATTCTAGGGTGGTGGACGGTAGACCGTGGCAGGGGGCACCACTAGGGGAGAAGAGGTGGCTCAGAAGGGCAGAGGGGAGGCCAGGGCTGGGAGAGCAGAGGGAGGAGAGGGCTCGGCCGCCAGGGGGTGGGATTCTGGCTCAGGGGTTTGGGGGTATTAACGCCATTCCCTGAAGCGGGGGGGGGGGGGCTCAGAAGACAGCGGTGTTCACCTAGGAAGCGCTGACTCGGGGTGCTGGGGGGACACCCCTTGCACTTGGGGCAAGTCTGGAAAGGAGTGAGATTTGGGTGCCTGGAGTGTGTAAGGAAACCTGCGGAGAAGCAGGATGGGTAGGGACCAGAAATGGGGCATTTTAGGAGGCAGAGGGGTGAGTTAGGGGCCAAGCCCACGTGGCAGCAGGGTGTGGGGGCGGGACAGTGACCAGGAGGGTGGTCGGCAGTGGCGACCGTGAGGGACGCTGTGCGGCCTCGGCTTGGAAGCTGCAACTGATGAATTACTGAACTCTACAGCTGAAACGAATGATATTCTAGATGTTGGCTAATTGAATTTTAATTAAAAAAAACAGCAGCAGCAGCTGCGAGGTCACTGGTGGCCGTGGCAGCGGTAACTTGAAGTCACCAGTGGGCCGCGAGGGCCGAGAAGGGAGGGCAGGGGTCATGGAAGCAGGCAGAGAGGGCCTGGGCGAGGGGGGCTGGGGACCTGGGAGCCTGTGGGGAGGCCTGGGGAAGGAAACCAGTAGGAGGGGAGGGTGAAGGTGGAGCAACGAGGTGTGAAGTGATGGTGCCAAGTTTGGACAGTGAGCAGAGGGGAGGGATCCAGAACCCACGGAGCGGTGAGGCGGGGCGGGCGGCGGGGGTGGAAATAGGCCGAGGGAGGGCTGGGGTGAGGGAGGGCCCTGAGTTGCACAGGGTGACTTTTTATTTTAAACCTTCTTTTCTTGATTAAAAAACCAGTAAGTGTTGATCATGAAAAATTAGGAAAATATATGGGCTACATAGAATGTCCTGCCCTCCCAATACCTAGACACGACCCTGATTAACATCTGATATCTTTTCACTTTTAAAAAATGCAAATATATACTTTAAAAAATAAACTTGGGATCACTGTAAGTGGCCAGCAGGCTGGATCTACCCTGTTTATGCTTTTTCACTTAGCAATATATTGTGAGGCTCTCCTCATGTATTAAATATTCTTCTAAAACGTCATTTTCAAATACTGTGTTGGTAAACAGCCTCCTACTTTGGGCATTTCGATTCTTTTTTTTTTTTAATAAGTTTTTCTTTATTTTTTTTAAGAGAGGGAGAGAGAGAATCTTAAGCAGGCTCCATGCCCAGTGCAGAGCCCGACATGGGGCTCGATCTCACGACCCTGAGATCATGACCTGGGCCAAAATCAAGAGTCAGATGGCTTCACTGATTGAGCCACCCAGGTGCTCCCATTTAGATTTCTTATGACTACTGCAATAAATGCCCCTGTCTATATATCTGTGAGTATCTGATTGCTTCTCAGCATCAAATCCTAGAAGTGGGATTACTGACTCCAGAAGTACTAGTACCTGGAATGTGTGCGGTGTGTATTGCCAGTGTCTCCAAGATCACGGAGATTCTCAGCTGATGTTCCTGGCAACACCAGGGGATCAGAGCCAGCTGGATTCGCGAGTCACAGACACTTTTTACAGGGGCTAACTAAAGATCCTGCAAGTTGACTTTCTGCCGAGCGCAGGGGGCACCCGGCATCCGCCACCATCCACTGACCACAGGACATCGACCATGGCTCTGTGTGCTTCTGGAGTCAGAAATCACATCTCATTTATTCTTGTTTCCCTAGAAATTAACACACCATCTGGCACACAGAAGTGATATAAATGTCTGTAGAATTGGCCCAATGGAGCTGGGCAACTGCACTAGAGTGGGAAGGTCCAGTTCCAGGAAAATGAGGTCCTCTCCGTCCTTGCAGGGACCACTTCCACAAGTCAGGGGACATCCCCGCATGGAAAGACATCGTCTTCTTCCTCTCCACAAGGTAGAACACCCAACCCCAGAATTAACGGTGCCCATTGGTTAGATCTTACATTTATTAGATTCCCTTTATCCTTATTTCTAACTAAATATCCTTATGTCATTGTTGCCTCTCTGGGTTTCAAGAACTTTAAAAGCTAATCTTAAAATAATTTTTAAAGATGATGATTTGGCATCCTCTATCCCATGTTAAGCAAGATGAATTTTATCAGTTCCTGTTACCACTTCCATTTAAAAAGATATAAACTAGATTTACTAGTAGTTGACACTTGGCTAGATTAAACAAGCAAACACAAAACCTGATACAAATGACATTTTGGGGACAGTTAGGGAATACTGATATACTATAGAGTGTTACGTGAATGTTGACTTTCTTAGGTATGATAATGTGGTTAAGTACAGGATGTTCTTACTCTTGGGGGATGCGTGCTGCAAGTCTGCAACCTCCTTTCAAACTGTTCAGCAAAACAAAGTATATGTGTGTAAATTATATATTATGCACATAGAAGGAGACAGAGAGAGGATGCAAAGGTGCCAAATGTTCATAACTGGAAGCTAAGTTAAAAATTACTGACAGTAAGTTTAAGAGAAAAATACATTATTAGCAGTTTAAAATAAGAACCTTGAAATATGAAGCACGTGACGACTAGTTTTGAAATGAAATCAGATCACCAGTCCACGGTATGGGCCTGGAAATACTTACAGGTCAGGTCCCACGTGGGAATAGCACTTGGCAGGATCTGGGTGTGGGGGCCTCGGCATCCCCAGCAGCCACGCACGGAGCTCCGTGAGGGCAGGCATTTCCGTGCTCTGTTTGTGGCTGTATGGCAGGTGCCTGGCTGTTCATTACAAATTACTATAGAGTAAAACTGGAAACAACCAAACTGCCCAGCTATGGGGGATAACTAAGTAAAATATGTCCTATTCATTTGAACTATTTTATGGCCAATATTTGTAGGTTTTTCTCCTGCTCTCTATAACCCCCTGGCTCGTACCCGTTTCTCTCTGCCATTCTCTCTAGACAGTTGGACTAACTGGCCTGGGGCCCCCCCCGAGAGCCCACGGGGGTCTAGGCCCCCGGGTCCCCAGGTTGGTCCCAGGTTCTGAGAAACCACACTAAAATTTTGTTCACATCAACCAGCTAGGAGCAAGTCTATGAAGAAAGCTAGGCCGCTAAACATGCATAGAGTTGCTTTAAAAAAGTGAATGTGTTTATCTAAAGATAAGTGGATTTGATGTCTTACCCTGTCACACCCCACCCCAACAGAAGGCCTGGTGCCATAGTGGGGGAGGGGTGCAGAACAAAAGCAACCCGAGGCCTGTTGGGTGGACCCACCATGCTCCTTCTGGTCCTTGCTTTGAAATTACATTGGCCAAAACTTGGCTTCTTCTGGGCGAAGGCTGGAAGTGCCTGGAGATCCTGAAATCCAACCACTTCATTTTTTTGGAAGAAGAAAGCTGGGGGTGAAGGAGACAACCTCTTTCCCCTCAAAAATCCCCAAGAGAGAAATAATGAAGAGATAAATGCTTTCCAATGTGAACGTTTTATTTTGAGTTTTTCAATACACACATCTTACACTGCAGTTAAAACAAAGCTTAAGAAAAGAAATCCCCGCGTCTGTTAGCCTGGACTTACACTGGGTACCCGGTCCTGTGGCCGCCGGGGGTGACGGGCCGGCGCAGGGGCTCGTCGGCACTCTGCTGCGCACTGGCCAGGCCCTTCCGCCTTGCCTTCCCTGTGTTCGTCATAATCTGGTGGGAGGAAAGAGGAGACAGGGCTAGAGACACCACCTACTTGAGAGCTGACGTCGAAGGAGAAGTTCCTACATGTAATAAATTATAGTAATAAGAGGCTTTGCAAATAGATGAAGAAGGATCATGACACAGATTATTCGGGTAAACGGAAATTGGGGCAAAAACTCGTTTAGGCTTGCATATTATACCGTTTAGCAGTATAAATTAAAAAAAACAATCAGACCATGGAAAAGAGAAGAAGAAAACAGTTTGAATAAACATTTACATCTCGGGGAAGACGGAGTTTTGAAAGTAAGAAGAAAAAAAAGATGGGCAGATTTGGTTTCATAAAAATTTTCCACTTATATATTAGAGATAAGCCAAATGAACAGGTAAACAACCAACTGTGAAGAAATATTTGCACAGGGTGCCTGGGTGGCTCAGATGGTTAAGCATCTGCCTTCGGCTCAGGTCATGATCCCAGGGTCCTGGGATCGAGTCCCGCATCGGGCTCCCTGCTCCTTGGGAACCTGCTTCTCCCTCTGCTTCTCTCTCTCTCTCTGTCTCTCATGAATAAATAAATAAAATCTTAAAAAAAAGAGAAATATTTGCACATATTTAACAGAATGGAAGGTTAAGATTTTCATTAGATAAGCAGCTCTTACAAATCAATAAGTAAGACAGTAGACGACGGAGCAAAGAATTCAAATAGCTAAGTCACACAATAGAAAAGATCACTGGTAAATACAAGAAAAAAATGATCAACTTTACAAGTAATTAGAAACTGCAACTTCATAAAAAAGGTATCATCTTTCAACGATTACATGACCATGTAATTGGCTGGCAGGATTCAAAAATGTTAGTGGCCCAGCAGGCTAAGTCATTTCTAATTACTTTAGGAAGTAATCTGGTGTTTTATATCAGGAGAGTCATAAAAATGTTCACATCCTTGGGTGTAAATCCTAGGGAAAGAACCCCAAATATGGAAAATGTTAAATAAACAAAGTTGTTTGTTACAAAACTGTCATAGAGTAAAACTGGAATAATCTAAGTGTCTGGCAAGAGAGGAATAAATAAGTGAAATATGGCATATTTATTTGAAATATTAAGTGGCCATTTACAATGATAAAGGCTGGGTTATGAAAAAATGTTTATTTAAAACATTTAATAAAAGGTTGTAATACTGTATATAAATGATGCTTTCAATTAGGCTAAAAGTACACACCAGATTGGAAGGAAATGAACACTAAATGCATCCAGTGGGAAGCAGGATAGCAGAACCGAGAGGAATTTTTTCTCCCCTTTATTTTCCAAGTGTTCTGTCTTATGGTTAGATCGTGTTCACAATTAAGACAAATGGTTTACAGAAGAAATGACTGTACAGCCGGGGAAACGGAACCAGAGTCTGGACTGCGCCAGTGTGGGCTGCCCGTGCGAGGTGGTGCCCCCGTCGTCCAAGCGGGACCACCCGGGAAACCGGGGGAGGGGGCATGGGACCTCTTGACACTCCTTTTTCAAATTCCTGTGACTCTAGAATTACTTGAAAATGAAAATTAAAAAAAAATTGGCTTATACAACGACAAAAACAAGCCAGAAATTAAAAAAAAAAAATTGGAATTACATCTTTGATTCCTTGATTTTTGCTGAGAGCTTATTTGGGTTGATCTCGTGTTTGAGGCAGGGAAAGGGAAAAGGGGCCTCCCTGCGCTGTGGGGCCGGCTGCCAGTTAGGGGTGTGGGCGGGGTGGGGGGCGGAGGGGAGGCAGTGGGAAGGGGAGCAGGGCCAGAGGACAGAGAAGGTGCCTTCAGCCTCCGGGGAGGAGACGGCACCGGATCAGCCTTCTACAGAAGAACTAAAACGCAGTCCCACCGCCCCTTATGTCTCTTGTGTGACCCTCAGAGGAAGGATGTTTTAACTGCAAGCCCGCCGCACTGCTGGCCCCCCTCACTCGCACTCCCCTTCGGCCACGCTGCCCTGTCCAGTATCGAGGCTCAAATTTACAGGCCGGGCTACTCATCTGGTGAGCAGGTGCCTTACGTCCAACCCTCAAACGCACCTCCGGAACACCCCTGCTTCTCTTTCTCCCTCCATTATGCCACCCGGCTCTTTCCAAAGAAGGCTCAGAAGGTGGGGTCTTAAGGTACTGGACCAGGGGACAGGGTGAGTACGTGCCTTCTTGCTTCCTCGTCCTCCACGCCGTGCTCCTTCTGAGCTCACCCTCCCAAATCCTTCCTAGGGGACGCTTACACGTGAGAGTGTTTCAGCCTGTGGAAAACCCTGTCAGCCATACCATTTCTTTCTTTCTTTTTTTTAAGATTTTTAAGTAATCTCTACAACCAACATGGGGCTTGAACTCACAACCCAGGATCAAGATTCACGTGCTCTACCACTGAGCCAGCCGGGCGCCCCTGTCATACCAATCTTCTTAAAACCCTATAGGCCTAGGGGCACCTGGGTGGCTCAGTCGTTAAGTGTCTGCCTTCAGCTCAGGTCACGGTCCTCATTTCAGGGTCCTGGGATTGAGCCCCGCATCGGGCTCCCTGCTCGGCGGGAAGCCTGCTTCTCCTTCCCCCACTCCCCCTGCTTGTGTTCCCTCTCTCGCTGTGTCTCTCTCTGTCAAATAAATAAATAAAATCTTTAAAAAAAACAAAAAACAAAAACCTTATAGGCTTAGGAAATAACTTAAGGTGGGTGGTATTTGTGCTCTCCAGGGGATGAAGAAACTGAGTCTAGCCTGTGGGTCAGAATGTCTGGTCTGTTACCCAGAGGCCTGAGGAAAGACCCAGCTCTGTTCAGGGCACACCTGGCGTCTCAAAGCAGCCATTTCCCAGAGGGCCTGCCCCCTGCTCACCTTACGACCTGCTGTGCCTACAGGGTGAGCCACGCAGTAGCCCACAAAGTCTCCAGGCCCCTCTCTGGGCCCCTCAGTTTCAAAGCAGCCTTTTGGGGCTGGAAAGATCTGAAAGGAAATCTAGTTCAACAACCTGCTGACTGTACCGAGTTCCGCAGAAATGCCTCAGGGGCTACTGGGAGAGAGAAGAGAATGGGTTCCTGGCAGTCACCTTACTTGTCCAGAGGGACTCAGCCTTCATCTGTGTGACAGATGGGGGGTTTTGTTTGAAAGAACGTTCTGCTACTAAAAAAATGCAGCACATGATTGAGCAGAATGTAATTTTTTCAGTAGTAAAAGATGGTCGAAACATGTCAATTTAGATAAAAAATGTTACTTCCCATTGACTAGTTTTCAAGGATTGGTGAATCACATAAAGAAATTGTGACATGCTAATAAAACAGTATGAATTTTTATAAGAAAATATAGGTACTCCACTCTCTATCATCTATCAATCCATCCACCCACCCACCCATCCACCCACCCACCCACCCATCCATCCACCCATCCACCCACCCATCCACCCATCCATCCACCCACCTACCATCCACCCACCCACCCATCCACCCACCCATCCACCCCCCCACACATCCACCCACCCACCCACCCCCTCACCCATCCACCCACATAGAAAATAATATGGGAGCTGGAGCAGACACTATTTGCCGCCCACCCAATATTCATTCTCTCTTGACTAACAGTACTCTGATTTTGTTGGCAAAGAAATGTTTCTACTTAATTTGAGAGAGAGTGAGAGAGCACAGCAGGAGGAGAGGCAGGGAGAGGGAGAAGCAGGCTCCCCACTGAGCAGGGAGCCTGACGCAGGGCTCGATCCCAGGACCCTGAGATCATGACCTGAGCTGAAGGCAGACGCTTAACTGACTGAGCCACCCAGGCGCCCCAAGAAATGTTTCTACTTAAAAATAGTCCCTTTCCCAGACTTCCTTGCAGCTGGGGGTCCTGGGACCCAGTTCTGACCAGTAAGAATGGAGTGCAGTGGCCAGCGGCAGCTTTGGGGACAAGCACTGTAGAGGGGCAGATGTGGTCAGTCTGCCTGTTTGGCCCTCTTCTGGACTTTCTCATGGATCTGTGCCAGGAGCTGCATCGGTCACCTCATGACCAAGAGGCAACACCGTGGGAATGAAGGGCTGATGCGTGGAGGCAGGACTGCTGCTTCAGGAAACTGGAGCTTCAAGGCCCAGAAGGGGCCCTCGCAATGTGTTCGTGTAGTCATATGTTTTTGTAACATTTGCAAAAGGATATTTTTTTAAAAATATTTTATTTATTTATTTGAGAGAGAGAATAAGATAGAGCATGAGAGGGGGGAGGGTCAGAAGGAGAAACAGACTCCCTGCTCAGCAGGGAGCCCAATGCGGGACTCGATCCCGGGACTCCAGGATCATGACCTGAGCCGAAGGCAGTCGCTTAACCGACTGAGCCACCCAGGTGTCCCATGCAAAAGGATATTTTAATTGCAAGCACTTACTACTGCTGTTTTTTTCTACTCTGACTTCCCTTCTGCCTTTTCTTCCTACTCTGACTTCCCTTGTCACACTTCCTGTCATGTTGGTGACATGATGCTAGAATTTAGGGCTTAGGTAAGGGGATGCTGAGTCCAGCTGACATTTAATGCGGGTTTCCTGGGATATATTCATAGGATTCCCACTCACTTTGGTGCACAGCCAAACAATCACTAGCTGTCCTGGGGTAGGAACCGCTTCTAGGAATTCCCTATGTTGTCAGAGTATTTATGAATAATCAGCATGCAAGAGAACTTGAAATACCCCCAAATCTTGCAGCTTATGTGTGGAAGAAACTTGAGGATGGTGTTCTCAAATTTAGCGACAATCCTAAAAATGTACACAGCATTACCAAAAACTAAATGTGAGGCCAAAGGATTTTCTAATCTTGATCAAATTTGACTAAATTTGATCAAATACGTTACAAGAAGGACTAATTTCCTTTTCTCTCTGTAGAAAACATTACAAACTCATTGTCATATATGTAGAGGCAATCAAAGGCATAAAACAAAAATAAAGAAAAAAGCCCCTATGAGTTGTGCAAAGCAGCTAATTAATAAAAACACTATTTTTCTATCTGTGGTATCTGTCAATTCTTAAAATTTGAA